TCGTTCAACTGCATTTAAAACTGCTTCAGCGTGCCAATCTCCATCTCTTTTTATACGACAACGTGGGAATAATCCCGTCTCTCTCAAGTAACGAAACAAGTTTGAAAATTTTGTGTGGTGAGGCATAATGAGATCGGGGTATCGCCTGAGGTGCTCCGCAGCTGCAGCATGTCCACTTCCAGCGCAAAAACCATATACGAAAACCATATCGGCATATTCTGCATTAGCATAATGTAAAATGCGACATAATGGATTAAATTAATAAGACAGCACAAAAATCATTAATTTGTCAGACGTTAAATCGTCAAGACTAACAGTTAATTTTTTTAATACCGTCGATATCTCCGAAATAAAGAGGAATTCACCTATAATTGATATAGCATTTTTTGATTGTAATGACCCGCGGAATATATGGTATAAGTTTGTCAGTCGAGTCGCTGGACACCTGTATATAAAAATATAATGTATTCATTAGTATATCGACCAACGATACGGTCGAATTCGTTCGAATTTTGAAAGTGTTTCGGTAAATGTGTTTTATATAGACTTTCTTGAAATTGGCTATCACCAATTGATCCGTGGGTTGTACAAGGAAGGTCTTAGGTGACAGTCTTATGTCACCGTAATCCACCCAAATTCTGCTTCCAATTCTGCTCCTAAATCTGGTGAATGTGCCGGTGCATGATCGAGAATGACAACACATCGCGAGTTATCCATGCTTTAGCGTTAGAGCGCCACATCACTGGTAAACTGTCTTTGCACACACTGAAAAGTTTAAATGCCCTAGGATTTTTTTTTGCTTTTTTGTCGGACCTTTGGGGGTGTCTATCGCTTTTGATGTTGCTTTTGTTGTCCCCTTTTCTTTGATATCTGTAGTGGAGGATTTCGCCGATCGTGATTTCGCCCACGCTCCCTTGCCCTTGGTCTGGATAAGAACACTCGAAACGGTGGCGGCTTTCAAGAATTTTTTTATGTACTTTTTGATTGCTTGCAATGATGAACCGCCGCGCTCACCTAGATTCTTAATATCGCCGTTAACCATTTCTGATGTCGGTGGATGAGTCGGTGGTTTCGACTTCTGAATCTGCGCCTTTTTCGTTAACGACTCCATGGCTTTACCCTTGAATGGTGTGTAACGACAATATGACAACGGTAGAGTCGTTGATAATGAGTAAGAGAAGAAGTGTAGAGTTGAATGGCGTTATGAAAGTATTTAAGAGGGCGAAGAAAATGGGTAGGATAGTGGAATTGGGATGAGAGTTTCGAGATGATGTAGGGATGAGGAGAGCGGGTAAGGTGGTAAGGGTCAAGGGACGTGAGATAGGAGGGTAGAGTGGTCTATAGGTTTATGAAGGACAGACGGATGGATGGGTGGTGTGTGAGGTCAGTGAGGACAGCCTGCAGCATACCTTGCAAGAGTGTCCGAATGGGAGGAGAAGAGAGAGACAGAAGGTAAAGGAGAGTTGAATAGGATTATGGATGACAGCCATAATTCCATATGAATGATTGGTACTGGTTGGCGGCAGGAGCTGTGTTCGATTATGTAGCCCTAGTTTTTGGTGGGTTGCCTTGGTAGTGGATTCAGTAGTTGGGTGGAGGAGAAAACGCAGGTCTGTCGTCATCATACTTAATGCATGGTGACGTTGCATGGACAACTTCCTCCTCAATAAGACCGGTTCTTTGCAAAACCAACAGATTATTCCCATTGTACTTAAATTTGCTCTCATGTTTTAGGAGGGTTTGATATATTTGTAAGATAGAATTTTTTTTAACTTTTCACGTGGTCTTTGCCGAATTGTATTGTTTAGTTGTTGCGGTGTAATTTTATTTTTCTTCATTAATTCAATTTCAATAACTTTAACATGAATTTTGTTAGTTTGTTGTGTTAATGTCGGGAGACCAACTTGCCAGGCTTAACCCTGACTTTTTAAATTGTTTTCCCTACAGTAGGAATATGCAGGGAAAACTAAAAAATTACTCTGCATTATATGATCACTTCTTTAAGTATGATTGGTTTTTTGCTTTCCCATACCGATGTCAATGAGGCTTTGGATGCCTTCTATGATGCCATTTACTCCGTAAGTAATACACATGTCACTATTAAAACCAAATCTAATAATTCTTACCCACGGTGGTTTTCGGCGGAAATAAAGAGACATATTAATATTAAAAAATTTTATCACAAAAAATTGATCAAAACAAAAAAATTTGTATTTAACGAATTTAAGCGACTAAGGAGGTTATCAGCATACTGCTGGAGATGATTTGTTGACCATAAAACTTATGATCAGAGACTGCCGTTATATATTTGCTTGCCCTCTTAAATTTATTATTAACTTGTCCATTACCTCCTGTGAATTTCCTGCACGATGGAAACGATCAAGACTTGTGCCTGTTTATAAAAAGGATGATCGTACGTCCCTCTCAAACTATAGACCAATTTCGATAATTTCTAATTTTGCTAAACTATTTGAAAAGTTATTATATTCTTTTATGTACACCGGCACACGCCTCTTTGTGTCAGCTTCCCAGCATGGTTTTGTTTCCGATCGCTCTACAATTACCAACTTGGATACGATTTCCGAGTTTATCTGTAGCACCTTGGATAGACGTGGGCAAGTGGATGTTGTATACACTGATCTATCCATAGCCTTTGATCTGATTGACCATAGAATTCTCTTGCATAAATTGAGCTCTTTCGTTCACTCTTACCTCAGGGGTTCCACAGGGATCAAATTTGGGCCCTCTATTATTTGTTCTTTTCATAAATGGGGTAATAAAACGGGTATGCTGATGATATCAAGATCTTTGCCTAAGTCTCATCGGAGGCAGATGCAGATAAGCTGCAGCACAACTTAAACACTAAGTGCTGCCAGCACATTAAGTCGTATTGAGGAGTACACGGATTTGGGGGTCCTCTTTGATGCAAGTCTTAATTTTAAAACACATATCAATAGTGTGTTCGGAGGCCTTTAGGTCCCTAGGTTTTGCGATGCGTATGTCTAAATATTTCACAAGTGTCAGCTTATTAAAGACCTTGTATTGTGCTTACGTTCTGAATTAGTTAGAATACGCTTGCCTGACTTGGAGTCCCTTATATGCGTATGAGTTCTTAAACCTTGATCGAGTCCATCGTAGATTCTTAAAATTTCTTTCTTACAAATCTGATGGAATTTACCCTGAGCGAGGTATACCACAAAATGATTTGCTTGCGCGACACAATATGGTTTCCTTGACGGACAGAAGAAATGCGTTTTATGAAAAGTTTCTACAAAAGCTTATCGAATATAACATCGATTGCTCTTTCATTCTTGACCGACTAGGGTTTGTTGTTCCAAGGAGTAACTCAAGAAATAGCTGCGTATTCGTCATTCCTTATGTCAAGACAAACATTATGAGACGGGCGCCGACATACACTCTCTGTAAAGTGGGCAACAGGATTCCAGACAGTCAGTGATCACCTGCATGTAAATTCACTTATTTGGTTTTTATTTTCTTTATAATTTGGTCAATTGTTAATTTCCTGAATTTTTGTTTTTTTTTTCTCACATACAGATACATATTATTGTATTATACATTATTGAATATATATTGTTATCCTTTTTTGGGCTATGCCTGTTGGGTAATAAAGGAATATTATTATATAATTATTTCCGAAAGCTTCTACATTGTAACGACTGTGATAACGGTCGTTCCTTTTTACGTAGTTTTCAATCGGACTTCAGCCTCTCATTTACCACCGAAATGATATGCAATTCGAAGTTCTTTCTGGCTTAAATTTCCTTTTTGTATATCTAGACGATATTCTAGTAGCCAGTCGCAATGAAGAAGAACATTATCTTCATTTACAACAATTATTTGAGATGATAACTCGCCTTCATGTTTAATCGATATTGTCACCTAATTAACCTAAATACGTTGATTTTAAAACGTCTTTAAAACATTTTTGCGGGACAAATCGCAGTATCTGCTTTCTGACATTCTTCTCTAAGCAAGCAACTCTAAATAATCCATTTAATTAAAATGATATTAATAACGGTCAAAACAAGTTTCGTCAATAAGCTAAAACATAATCAATATAAAACACAACACTTAATAACATTAACCAGGACTAAATATGTTTTCAACACTTAGATATGATAAAGCGAGTGAAAGGAAAAATATATGCATATGAACCATAGTGATCTATTACTATTAGTATAGAATAATAGAAATTAGATTTGATATACATAATTGGTATCACATTGACCATATTAACCTAAGAACTAATCGCAATGAACGAATGACGAGTAAATGCGTAACGACCGACATTGGCGGTGTGGACATAACACTCGAATATTTCACTTTTCACTCACGTGAAGGTATTTGCATGATACGAAACTTAGGCGAACTAAATTAAATTAAAATGTTATGTTAAAATGTTGTTAAATTAAAATTAATCCCTAAATTAGGGACACAACACACCACTTTTCTCGCGTTCTCGACGTCGCGTCGGCAATAATGTTCGAAACAAAGCGAAAACTCGCGACCCATGTGGAATTGCCGATCGCATCGTCCTCGTTTTAAGGATAAAAGCTTAGACATATTGATAAAATTTACACGCCTCGTGGTTTTAAAACGTTTAAGAAAGCTATTCTCCTTGAAAATTCAGTTCGTTCTTACATAAGCGTAAAATTCGGCGACGCTAAAGTTTACGACGACGGTCACGTCAATGACATCTCATACTTTCAACCGCAGCTACACAACGAAATCGTACCGCCACAAGTAAAATTTTTACGTAGACGTTGAGTTAACTTCTTCCACTATACTGAAATACCTAACGGGAATATTTACGTCGCGACGCCAACACAAGCGGGCTCATTTTCTAGAACGTTGCGAACACGAGACAGCCGTTGTGATGCCAGCGGTGCGAACGGAGGAAAATCGACCTTCGATGGTTTTCGGCTTCGGTATGTACATTCAACGTTGGGTTCAATTTTCTGAGGAAAATGTTTGTGAATAACTTGTACGAAGTTGACGTTCGTGCACGTGAGCTTTTGTAAGAAATATTTTTGCTACAAACTGTCGCTACAATGACGGACGTGCAACAAACGGAACAGCACACCCGCGTATCTTCCGAAACGGAAAACACTACACCCGTAAAAAACGAAGCTGTCGGCGGTGGTTCCTCCTCCGATTCGTCGACGAAGAAAAAGAAAAGCCAGCGATCAAAAGCCACCCATCCACCTACATCCGAAATGGTGAATAATGCGATTAAGACTCTTCAAGAACGCAACGGTTCGTCGCTTCAAGCTATTAAAAAGTACATGGCTTCTAATTACAAAGTTGACGCTGAGAAGATGGCTCCGTTTATTAAGAAATTCCTGAAGACCGCCATCGCTGCAGGCGCTATTGTCCAAACTAAAGGTAAAGGTGCGTCAGGATCGTTTAAACTGCCATCGGTCTCTGCAAAAAAGTCTAGCAGAGCAAGGACTTCCTCCCTTAAAAAGAAACCTGCCGCCGCCGTATCTAAAACGGCCAAAGCTCGAGCTATCTCTACGAAGAAATCCTCCTCAGCNTCTTCGTTGAGCTCAGAAATCATTTCGGTTAAAAGAGACATGTGTTTTAAAATTATTTGTTTCTTTGATAAGGTTTCGATCATATTATTGGTTTTATCGTTGATTTTATTAATTTTCTTTATATTGGAATTGATTACGTCTTCATTGGTTTGTAACAATTGGGCTGAGTTATTATAACTGCTAATGGCATCTGAAAGGATATGAATTTGTTGTCTCATTAACGACTGAATATCGTGATTTTGTTTAGTTAACCCTTTAATAGAGTCGGAATAATATTTCGCATCGGAAGCATCGGGTGTACCGAAAAGCCAGTTGAATGCATAAGATACTCCGTTAAACAATCCGCGGCGTTTTCGATTTTGATTCGAATTTTGGTGACCGACTAAATGTGTAACGGTCTCGAATTTTGATTTGATCTGGGGAATTTGGATTTTCATTAGTTTGAGAGGTTCTTGACAAGACATCGCGTCTGGAATTTTAGCACATAATTGAATTAAGTTTGCTTCTATATTTTCGACAAATTTTACTTTTCGCTGAATGAATGATATGTTAGAAAAAGATATCAAAGTAAATTGATCGCTAGATATTTTGGCGTTTCCAATGTTTTGATAGAATATACCAGAGTTGTTTGGTATCTCAGTTGTTTGGAAACTTGTAGAATCGGCGAGTGTTATTATGCAGAAGAAGAGGAGTAGAGGGGATGACACATAGGTTTTAGTTGTCGTCATCTGGAATGAAGATTTTCAACATATTAGTATGGTATGTAACTTCTTTATTAGGTTTTATTAGTATTTTTACGGTATTATTGTCATTCACTTGTTTTATGCGGAACGGACCTTTGTAATTGGGACTTAATTTTTTACTGAGGCCTGATTTAATATTTTTGTTTAGTATGTAGACAAGGTCATCAACTTTAAATGTTATCTCTCTAGCATTTTTATCGTAGTATTTTTTCGATGTTTCTTTGGATTGTAATAAGTTCTGACGGGCAATTTCGTGAGTTTTATTTAATTTGAATTTTAAATTAGAGTAGTAATCGTCGTAAGAGTAGCGGAATTCTGGAGATTCTGTTAATATTCTAGGGATTGTAGCTTTATGTCCAAAGACGAGTTCGAAGGGAGTTAGGTTTGTGGATTTATGAATATGGGTGTTATATGTGAACATAGCTAATTCTACATATTCATCCCAATCAGTTTGGTTCGAATTGATATAATGTTTTAAATATTGCTTTAGAGTGTGATGACTCCTTTCTAGAGCACCATTAGTTTGAGGGTGATATGGGCTAGAAAATACGTGTTTTATTTTAAATAAACGATTTAATTCTTTTAAAATATTTGAACAGAAGTCTGATCCTTGATCGGTTAAAATGCATTCTGGAATACCGAATACAGTGATGAATTGGAGCAGGGTGTTTGCAACGGTTGTGGCTTCGTGATTTGGGAGTGACTTCGCGTAGGAATACTTTGTTAGATCGTCTTGCATGGTAAGAATAAATCTGTTTCCATTTTCGGTTAGAGTGAGGGGACCTACGACGTCTAAAGCTAGCCTTTGGAATGGTTTTTCACTGGTAGTTGTGATTTCCATAGGAGCTTTAGTTGGTTTATGGTTAGTTTTGTTGATCTGACAAGAATGACAGTTTTTAATGTGCCTTTTAATATCTTTTTTCATATTGTACCATTTGTAGTTTTCTTTGATTTTCTTGTACGTTCTTATATAACCTGAGTGACCGGATATGGATGAATTATGGTTAGATTCTAAAATTTGTTTGATCTCTTCTCGATCTTTTGGGCAAATTTTTGGTTTGTTAACGAGAATTACTTGTATCTTTTTAAATACAAAATGGATCAATTCATTAAACATTTCCTGTTTTAAATGATGGCATTCNAATGCTGTCTTTGAGATGTCTCTTGGGTGCATTTTTATCTGGTGGAAACCGCTAGCAAGATCAAGGGTGGTGAAGTACACGGAATGACCCAATTGATCGAGGATGTCCTCGATATTAGGAAGAGGATATGAATCTCCTACCGTGACATCGTTTAGTTTCCTGTAATCTATGACGATCCGCCATTTTTTCTCGCCAGAAGCGTCGAGTTTTTTCGGCACGATCCACAAGGGACTACAATAAGGAGAGACGGATGGTTGGATGATGCCTTGTTTCAGCATCTTTTTGATTTGTTAATCAACTTCTGTCTTATGAACCTCAGGAAATCGATAAACTTTGGAATGAATCGGCGTTTGATCGGTTACAACAATTTCGTGTTTCACGGCTTGCGTGGAACTTAATTCGTCATTGGGTAAATAAAATATGTCATTAAATTCTGTGCAAGTCTCTAAGATAGAAGATTTTTCTTCGAAGTTCAGATGATCTAATCGAAGATTTTCTTTTAGAAGTTTAATTCGGTCTTTTAAATGTGAATTGGAAGATGATGGGGTGAGATTGAATATGAAAGATTGATTTTCTTCAAATGTGTCTAGAAACAATGAGATGTTATCGATTTTGACTTGACGATTGGTTGTATTTAGGATAGTAGTGAATGCTTTGTTATTTGGACGGACCTTAACGAGAGATTTAGCAAGAAATACTCCGGGACACACGGAAATTTCGGGACTGATACCTTGTTCGATATTTTTGTTTAATATATCGATCTCGATTATAGTTTCTGAACGAGGGTTTAGAAAATATGAATTAGATTTAGAAGGATTAGAATTTGAATAGAGAGGTATCGGGAATGGAAGGCATTCAATTTTTAGAATGTTTCTATTATAACAAATACTAGCCTTTTGTGGTTTAAGGAAATCGTTTCCTATTAGTCCATCAAAGGGTAGATTAGATTCAGCCTTTACGATGTGAAATTTTACATCAAAAGTTTTGTTATATATTTCTAAGGGAAGTACTATGCTACCAATTGTAGGCACCAATGAATTTGTACTTAGTCCGTTTAGTGACATTGTTTCTGAAGGGTTGTATTTAGATTTAGTTTGTTTTAATTTATCTAGTTTTATCAAGGAGACGCTGGCTCCAGTGTCTATTAAAAACATGAATTCAATACTTTGGTAAGTCGTTTTTATATAAACCATGCCCTTATTGGCGATGAATATGTCAACAGCTTTGGAAATATTAGAAGGATTTTGATTAATTTGTTGGCATTTGGAGGTAGAAATGGTGTTTGGATTTGATATAGGAAAAGGTGTAGAGTTCGCTTTGAAGTAATTGTTAGAATTCGCTATAGGATTTTGAAGATTCGATTCGAATGAAGGATTAGATTTAGAATTAGAATTAAGTTTTGATTCGAATGACGAATTAGATTTAGAATTTTTAAGATTTAATTCGAATGAAGAATTAGATTTAGAATTTTTAAGATTTGATTCGAATGAAGGATTAGATTTAGAATTAGAATTGAGTTTTGATTCGAATGACGAATTAGATTTAGAATTTTTAAGATTTAATTCGNGTGACATTGTTTCTGAAGGGTTGTATTTAGATTTAGTTTGTTTTAATTTATCTAGTTTTATCAAGGAGACGCTGGCTCCAGTGTCTATTAAAAACATGAATTCAATACTTTGGTAAGTTGTTTTTATATAAACCATGCCCTTATTGACGATGAATATGTCAACAGCTTTGGAAATATTAGAAGGATTTTGATTAATTTGTTGGCATTTGGAGGTAGTTTTGGAGGTGTTTGGATTTGATATAGGAAAAGGTGTAGAGTTCGCTTTGAAGTAATTGTTAGAATTCGCTTTAGGATTTTTAAGATTCGATTCGAATGAAGGATTAGATTTAGAATTAGAATTAAGTTTTGATTCGAATGACGAATTAGATTTAGAATTTTTAAGATTTAATTCGAATGAAGAATTAGATTTAGAATTTTTAAGATTTGATTCGAATGAAGGATTAGATTTAGAATTAGAATTGAGTTTTGATTCGAATGACGAATTAGATTTAGAATTTTTAAGATTTAATTCGAATGAAGAATTAGATTTAGAATTTTTAAGATTTGATTCGAATGAAGGATTAGATTTAGAATTAGAATTGAGTTTTGATTCGAATGACGAATTAGATTTAGAATTTTTAAGATTTAATTCGAATGAAGAATTAGATTTAGAATTAGAATTAAGTTTTGATTCGAATGACGAATTAGATTTAGAATTTTTAAGATTTGATTCGAATGAAGAATTAGATTTAGAATTTGAATTAAGTTTTGATTCGAATGACGAATTAGATTTAGAATTTTTAAGATTTGATTCGAATGAAGAATTAGATTTAGAATTAGAATTAAGTTTTGATTCGAATGACGAATTAGATTTAGAATTTTTAAGATTTGATTCGAATGAAGAATTAGATTTAGAATTAGAATTAAGTTTTGATTCGAATGACGAATTAGATTTAGAATTTTTAAGATTTGATTCAAATGAAGAATTAGATTTAGAATTTGAATTAAGTTTTGATTCGAATGACGAATTAGATTTAGAATTTTTTTTTAATTTCGATGAAGAGTTAGAATTTGATTTTATGTTGGAATTTGAATCACTTACGCCATTCGAATGTCTTGTTCCACAAGTGAGGCGTTCACTTGGGATGGATTGGAGTTTAAATGAACTTGTGCGGAATTATTATGATTAGAATTATTATTTTGTTGTTTTCGTTTGTTATTATATTCGCGTTTGCGACACTCGCTTATTATATGTCCATTGTTTTTACAATAGTTACAAAATTTAGCGTTTGGATTAGGGTTTGCATTTGTTTTATTTAACTTTTGATTTGAATTATAATTAGAATTAGAGAAGTTAGATGAATTTGAATTAGAAGGATTAGATGAATTGAAGTTAATTGGTTGGTTTAGGGATTTAGGTTTTCTAAAACAATCTTTTGTGTTATGATTATTCTTTTTACAGAAGCTGCAATATTTATTACTGGATTTTGGTCGAAATTCGCTGTGGGAAATATTGATTGCTCTTTCTTCTTCAAGTGCTTTTAGTAAGGCATCGGAGATGTCATCTAAATTTTGTCCTCTAAGGAATCGGGAAATGTCGGGTTTTGAATGATGGATAAATCTACTCATAGCCAATTCTTTAATAGTTTCAAATTTACCGATTTGTTCATTAAGGTTTTTATAAGAAACTGAACCAAGGAGTCTTGAAGTTAACTTATCTATTCGTTCGTGGAATGAGGCAACAGA